GTTAGTGGCCATCCTTGAGCCAAACAAGTTACGCATAGGGTTTAGGGCTTAGGGAACCCTAAACTATAGGAGGTGTAGGCCCCCAAATCAGACCGGTTTAGGGGGTTGAGGGGGTTGAGGGGGGTTGGGGGCTTTAGGGGGTTGAGGGGGTTTCGGGGGTCTAGGGGGCTTAGGGTTTAAGGCGTTTAGTTCAGGGTTTAGGGTTTCTGGCTTTCGGGGGCTGCGGAGGGTGTAGGCTTCACCCTAAAATCCTAAACCCTGAGCCACAAATCGGGTTCGGGGGGTTTGGGGTGTTTGTAGGGTTTGTACCCAGGTTTGAAGGGATTGGGTGTGGCCTCCAAGCCCCTCCCCTTTCAGGGCACAGCGGGATTGGGACAACTTCCGTTTTGTCTCCAGTACCCCTACTTTGGGCCTAAACCCTACACCCTGGAACCCTAAACCCTAAATGCCAAACCCTAAACCCTAAACCCTAAACCCTAAACCCTAAACCCTAAACCCTAAACCCTAAACCCGAAACCCTAAACCCTAAACCCTAGACCCTAAACCCTAAAACTTCATCCAGCATCTCAGGCACCTGCCTGAGCCGGCAAGGAACGCGGAATTCCCTGAAGGCACGAGGATGGTTTAGGGTTTAGGGTCTAGGGTGTAGGGTTTAGGGCTCCACTAACCCCAAAATGCCGAGAGTCTGGGGGCTTCTTCATATCAGGGTGTACGGAACCCTACACCCGAAACCCTGAGCCCAAAACTCTAAAACCCTAAACCCCAAGCCCTAAACCCTAAACCCTGAGCCTAAACTCTAAAACCCTAAACTCGAAAACGCTGAATCCCAAACTCCATGGCACGCGAAGTTTGGGTTTAGGGTTCAGGGTTTAGGGTTTTGGGTTTCGGATATAGGGTTACGGGGAACCCCCCCTCCCCTGATAGAAACTCGAAATATTGGGGGGTGGGTGTGTTTGTATCTGTATGTCATCTTTTGGGGTTTGGGGTTTAGGGTGTGGGTTTGAGGGCTTGGAGGGTTTACTGAAGGCGTCAACTGAGAAAGAACCCCAATGAACCAGACTTCTGCACTACTCGACGGTCGGCAGATGCTGGCGGTTCAGGGTTTAGGGTTCAGGGATTAGGGAAAATGGTACCCCTTTAAAATCCCTTTTATGGGGTTGATTATGGGAATGATAGGGCCTAATAGCCCATCCTGGTTCGACCTTGCTTTGAACATCGTGGAAGAAGCGCGCAAGAAATTTCATTGCTGCGCTGCCATGCCAAATGACACGCCAACTCTTCGAGCGGATACTTTTCTTCATCGGGTTTACAAAGTCTTGGGTAGGGCTAAGGGTTTAGGGTTTAGGCTTTGGGCTTTGATTAGGGTTTACAGCTTGTGATTATTCCTACTATAAGTATGCCGTGTGCGCCCTGAAAAGTAGTGGACCTCCGGGAAGCTTAGAGAGCCTTAGGAAGTAGTGGGGAGTATCAGTGGAACCTTGTGTTACATACCCCCCTTGAAGCCCCCTACCTTAAGAGCCCTAAACCCTAAACCCTGCACCCTAAACCCTACAATTCTTTTTTGGGGGGGTTCAGAGATTAGGGCCAACGCTGAAGGTACCAGAACCGCCTGAGTGTCAATGTGCCACCCTACCCCAAAAACACAAGCCCCGAACCAACCCCAACCCCGAGCCCAACAGCCTCTGCCCTTGTGGATTTAGGGGTTTAGGGCAAACCCTAAATCCTAGACACCGCAACCCTAGATCCTAAACCCTAAGGAGCCTGTAAGGGTTTAGGATATACGGTCCGCACCACCCCGTACAGCACTGAACCCTCAACTTCCAAGCCTAATTTCTCAACCCTAAACCCTCACCCCCGAGCCCTCCAACCCAAAAAAGTGCTTAGGGTTTCGGGTTGGGGTCCTAAACCCTAAACCTCAAAAAGGCCCTAAGCACCTGAAGCCCTAAGACCTTCACCCCTCAGCCTAAAGTTCTCAATGGCCTCCGCCGCATGCTGCGCCACCATCCTCGCGCGTTCGGGCAGTAGTAGAGGTTTGCAAGAGCTGCCTGACATCTCAGACCTAGTGAACCTTCATGCTAAGCCCTAAACGTGACCCTGTAGACCCGAACCAAAACAGTTAACACAAACGCGGGTGCCACGCTCACAGCTGAAACCCAAATCCTCTACATAGAGTCACCTTTATCATTGCCCTCAAGGACTGAGGGTTGAGCTTCCTGATAAGACCTGAACTAGTGACCCAAGACTCTAAACCCCTCCAAGCCCGAAAAAACCCTCAACCCTCACAGACCCGAATTGAAGCTCTGAATATTTCATAGCCCCCCCATAGCCCGCCCCCCCAATAGCCCCCATGTTGGTTGGGGCCTTTGAAAGAAGTCGGCGGCTGGCGACGGCCCGCCCCACTGCAGCCCAGCCTCCAGCCAAATTAGCTTCATGACAGCTAATTAGTGCTCTTACAACTATTGATACAATAAACTCGGGTTACAACAATGTTTTCATGATTTCAGGGTTTAGGGTTCAGTGTTTAGGTTTTAGGGTTGCTGTGATTTTGGGGTCCGGGTTGTCTAGATATAGGGTGTGAAAGCTGTAAGGTGAACCCCTGAACCCTAAACCCTAAACCCTATACCCTAAACCCAAAACCCTAAACAGCAACAGCACCCGGGCCTGCATTGGGCGGGGCGCCGCGCCCTGCGCCCATGACATTCGGAATTGGGAACTTCCGGGTTGTTCAAACAAAACCTATACATGAACCAACCCTGAACCCTAAACCTAAACCCTAAACCCCAAGCTCTCAACCCTAAACCGCTTCAACCCTGAACCCTAGAAAACGTCACCGCATAGTTCCAGGAACCCTGAACCACGCAAACCCTTCCCTGCCATCAAAAGGGAGTTGGGATGTCAGGGAGAGTTTAGGGCTTTAGGGTTTAGGATTTACAAGGGCAGTTCTCAGAATTGGAGAACCAGCCGTATTCCCTCAATCAGGACCAAACTCTGATAAATATCCCCCTACACCCAGCGCCCCTACACCCCCATGAGCTTTTCTAAAGTCCCACAAAGGACCTCGGAGACGGCTCCTCAGAACCAACGCGAGAAGGCCTATAGGGCTCCACTAACCCCAAAATGCTGAGAGTCTGGGGGCTTCTTCATATCAGGGTGTACGGAACCCTACACCCGAAACCCTGAGCCCTAAACTCTAAAACCCTAAACCCTAAGCCCTAAACCCGAAACCCTAAACCCTAAGCCTAAACTCGAAAACCTTAACCCCAAAAAGCTGAACCCTAGACTCCATGGCACGCGAACTTTGGCTTTTGGGTTCAGGGTTTCGGGTTTTGGGTTTCAGATTTAGGGTTAGGGCTTCGAAGTTCAGGCTTTAGGGCTTCATGACATTCGGAATGGGCCACTCCCGGATTGTTCAAACAAAACCTATGTATGAACCAACCCTGAACCCTCAACCCTAAACCCTAAGCCCCAAATCCACAACCCTGAACTCCTGAACCTTAAACCCTAAACCCTTGAAGGCCAGGAGCCGCAGCAGGAGGCATCGCTAGGGGTGCCTGCTCCCCCCGAAGCCGAAAAATTCCCAGATGCCTTACATTACCCCTGAGGTCCCCTTAGCACTTATAACCCTAAACCCTAAATACCCTAAACCGTAACACCTAAAACCCTAAACCTCAGAAAGGCCCTAAGCACCTGAAGCCCTAAGCCCGTCACCCCTCAGCCTAAAAGCCCCTCAATGGCCCCTGCGACCCCTACCGCCTCCTGCTGGCGCAGCCTGTCCAAGTGATCGGGCTACAACTTCAGCAGGGTTTGGAGGACGTGCCAACCAACATGGGTTGCCGAAAAAAGGTGGGTGGGGGGGGGGGGGGCTAGGGGGGAGGGGGGCCTATGGGGGGGGCTAGGAAATATTCAGAGCTTCCATTCGGGTCTGTGAGGGTTGAGGGTTTGCTAGAGTTTGGAGGGGTTTAGAGTTTTGGGTCACTAGTTCAGGTCTTATCAGGAACCTAAACAATTGGTTCGTGAGGGCAATGATAAAGGTGAATCCATGTAGAGGATTTGGGTTTCAGCTGTAAGCGTGGCACTCGCGTTTGTGTTATCTGTTGGTTCGGGTCTACAGGGTTACGTTTAGGGCTTCGCATGAAGGTTCACTAGGTCTGAGATGTCAGGCAGCTCTTGCAAACCTCTACTACTGCCCGAACGCGCGAAGAGATGGGCCTTCTCCACACGTCGGAGGCTGCGGACGGGCCGCCCCACTGAAGGCCAGCCTCCAGCCAAAATAGCTTCATGACAGCGAATTAGTATGCTTACAAAAAAATGATACAACTATCGATTAAATAAACTCGGGTTACAACACTGTAAATGAGTAAAGCCAAAGCAGCGACACTTCCCCAAAACTTGGGTGCTATTTGAGCACGCTAGGTCCTGCAAAGCAGGATGTTAGTTGAACATGCTCCGCTCCGTCTTTTCGCACACGCAAGGGCCAACCCCCAAGAGGCCTCTCTGAAACCTTCAAACATCGCCGGTTTGAAGACCCCCAAAAAGAGCCGCGGAGGCCTAAGAAGTTACACAAGATGCAAAATTCGCTCTTCGGAGCGGGATGTGTGGATACCACGCATCCATGCAAGCACACTTTCAAAGGCAAGGGGCAAGGGTTGGGTGGTTTGGTTAGGTGGGGGTGGGTTCTCCTGCTCTGCTTGCTCTGCCCTGCCGCTGCTTGCCCTACCAAGACGAACTTGTGGGCTTACCCACGAGAGGACTTCAACGGAAGTTCAACGACCGGCCCTACGCGGGCCCCCGTAGTTCACTCTTTTAGCTTTGAGCAGCTCTCATGGGCTGCTGCCGACGTGACGCCTCGCGCTGTCTTCGGCTCTGGAGACGCTGGGTCCCCTGGGAAGGACCTTGGCACTCTTGTTGAGCAGAAGCCGTGTCTTTGTTTTGAGGTTTTGCCTAAACTTCTTAGGGGAACCACTTTTAGTAATGCCAGTTCGCTGCTTTTGTGGCCTCAGATCGTTCCCGAGACTCGGGTGTGGAGCTTACCCATTCCTGAGTCTCGCCACAGTTCCTTGTTAACGACACAGAACCAGAGGTGGCAGTGTGCTCAGCCTTTGGTGTTGCCTCAGTCGCACGCGGCCTTCGGGCCAAGTTTCAGTTGTGGCCTTTACGGCCTGCTTTTGACGCTAGTTCTCTTAGGGGAGCTTTTCTGGGAAGTTTTCCGCTTCTGGGTGCGGTGGAAGCACCTCCAGTCCAAGGCCTCAGAACTCAGGCCTGTGACAACCGGCAGTGCCCTCAGTGACGTCTGTGACAGCCTTAGTGAATGCGAGCCTGTTGTTCGTAGCCGCATGCGCAATCGCCGCAAGCTCCAGTTTACTTTACGTTGTCCGGAGGGAAGGCTTTGGCTTCAGAGGGCTTGGTGGCCTGCACGTCCGGCACGCAGGGTTGGCTCTCGGAGACTGACTGGAGTCAGGAACGTTGTGGGGCTAGGGGGGCTGTGGCGTCTCTCACCTGCTCGGTCTTGCTCGGCAGTCAGGAAGCTCCAACTCCGTTTCGCCAAGGTCAGGCTCCGTCGTCGTCAACGTCGTGCCGTTTTGTCTCTTTTGTCCCTCGGACTTCCGCCCCGGCCCGTAGGTGCGACTTCTGAGGACACAGTGCGTGACGTTTTGCTTAACCAGCTCAAAGGGGGGCGGGGCAGACGCAAGCCAAAAACCGGGTCAAACAACGACCACGACAGAGCTCCTGACAACCCTGACGAGGACTCCTTGGCGGATGCCCTTACTTCCTTCTTGGACAAATGGGCCAAAAAGCCGGCTCGCTCCAGGGAGTCGCCCCGGCCGGCTGGCACTCCCGAACGACAACCTTCGCTGTGCGAGGTCCTGCTCTCGGTGCTGAAGAAGTGTAAGCAAAGTGAGGCCTCGGACGAGGCTACGTTTCAACAGGTCAAGTCCGCCTTGACCAAACACAAGCAAAGCTCGAAGCAAACGGGGGCCACGGAAAAACCCCAAACCGTGCACAGGCAGGTGGTGGTTACGGGCTCTTCTCCTAACGCCGTCCAGGACCGCGGAAGGGGTACGCCTCCTGCTCCCAACAAACCTAGTCCTAGTCCTGCTCCTGTCTCTCGTGCCCCCAGCCAGCAAGGCAGACAGGTTCTAGGGATTAACTCAAGTGAGTGGACCAACAATCCGATTTTCCTTCATCGAAAAACTGTGTTGGAGGTGATTCAGGACGGCCGCATGCTTGAAGGTAACTGTACGGCAGTCCAAAGCACTCAGGAACTGCTGGAACTTCAGGACACGTGGCTGGCCTTTGACTGCAAGCAGCCTTTGACGGTCCTTGCGACCGGAGAAGCGAGGGGCTCAAGAGGCTGTTGCCTCGCCAGGGCCTCACTCCGGCGGGGACCTTTGTCTGCTGGCTTTTCCTGTGAAGAGGTAGGAGTTCTGGTGTTAGGGGAAGAGGGTTACGCTCCCAAGCTTAAGCCAGCCTCCAAAGTCGCTCTTTCGAAGTTCAAGGCTCCAGCCAAAGCCCTGATTCGGATCGTGGCGCCGTCCCACTACCGCGCCTGTTGCAAGGAGAGCCGACAGTGGGATTCCCCTCAAGCCATCGTGTCGGAAATGGCACAGTGGAAGGTTGAGGGACCAAGCACTCAGGCCAGTAGTCTCACGGGTGGCAACTGGCAGTGGACAAAACACAAAGGGTCGGATCAGCTGATTGGCCACTTGAAAGTCAGTGAAAGTCTTGCCCAGGCCCTGGCCCCTCACAGTGGTCGCCGAGGTATCTTCATTTCACTGATCAAAGATCTAAAAACTCCCGCGAGGATAGGATGGATCCCCGAGCATGAGGATGAAGAGCCCGATGACTATCTTAGTCGTTGCTCCAGCTTTGCATCCGCGCGCGGTGCTTCCCTAAAGTACCGATGTGGAGGCGGCAACGACTTGGGTGTGGTTAGGAAGGATGGCGAAGCTGAGGAAGTCAGAGCCGTTGTCGTGAACGTGCGGGCCCCAAAAGATTGGGAGGCGGAGGGCCTCCTCGCCTTTTTGCTTGAGCAAAAGTGGCTCGAGCCTCAGGTCTTGAACAAACGAGGCCAGAGCTGGTTGGTTAAAGGCACGCCGCCTCACCCAGCCTCTACATGGAGATACATCGATGCTGAGGACCCCAGCATTACTGTACACGTCACAAAGGCTCAAGGGAAGCCCCCCTCGGTGCGCGAAACTGTGCCGTTGCGTGCTCCCCGTGCGAAGCTCAGTGAAGTGAGCGCTAGGCCTGCTGAGCAGCGCAGAGGCAGAGCTCCTCCGGACGCCGCCACAGGTGCCGGCGCTGGGCCCCGGGCTGGCAAGGACACACAGGAGATCGGTTCCGACCGGGCTCGGAGCCGCAGTAGAGAAAAGGACACTACTGAGAGTTCCAAAGCCCCCCCTCTGGCTCCAGTTTTTGATCCCATGACTGATGCTCTGAGCAGCGGGTGGAAGATCAGAGACCTGGGCGGGGACGGGGACTGCGGTTTCCGTAGTCTGTCGGGCGCGATGCACCACGCCAAGGGCACCCCTTTCCCTGACGATGTTGCGGTCGACCAAGCTCGCTGTAAAGGTGCTACCATCCGAACTCAGTGTTTGTCGCACATCCGTAAGCATGTCGATCGCTATGCTGCCTTCCTCCAACCGGATGTTGATGGTGGTGACATGGATACTGAGGACTTGGAGATGTACTTAGGCTCCATGGCGCACCCTCGTGCTTGGATTGACGGTATCATGATCCAAGCTGCAGCAGAAAAGTACGGTCAGGTCGTGGTGATCTGGCACAAGTCAAAGCCGCAGATGGACGCTGCTGGGCTTGTCACTCAGGCCAACTGGCAGCGAACCACTTTGGCCCCGGACTGGGCCAAGGATGGGATGCCTAAAATGGCAAAAGACAAGTCCCCCATAGTGCTTAGGCTTGAGAATGAGCACTACACGTACATGGTCCCTCCGGAAGGAAGCGAGGTTCCTCTTGCTTGGCTTAGAGAAACTTCCGTGCCCCATAGGAGGCTTCTCCAAGGCTCTGCGGGCCCGGGTAGTGAGGTGAGTGTGGCTACGCCCTCACTGCACTCGCTTAGGTCCTGCTTGGACAGGCGGCAGGGAGCTACTCACTCAGGGAGTGCTGAAGACTCTCGAAGCCTCTCCGCTGCCACGCCCTCAGTATACACTGTCGCCAAGGGTCCCTTGCAGGCCTCCCCGAAACCCTCAAAGAGCAGACCTGAGGCGTCAGAAGGGTCACGCCCCAGAAAAAGTCGTCGCGTTGAGGCTTTTTCCACTGGGCCCCACTCCCCCGGTCGAGGCAAACCCTCGTTTGGCTCGGCTTTCTCCTCAGGCTCCCCGGGTTGCAAGGCTCACTCTCCTTCTGAGTGCAACTGCAAAGCTGAGGTCGCGCCTGAGCCTTCGCTGTCTAAGGGGCCCTCAACCCCGTCTCTGCACACCTTCATGCGGCATGCTGCTCAAGAGGCGCCCAAGCCTCAGCTTGACCCCGCAGCCTCCCTTGAGCCCCCAGAGGTTCCCCCCCGCCGGCGCCTCAAACGCAAGCAGCACCCTTTGGGGGAAGACGAGGACACGGGGCACGAACCTCTTACTTTTTCAGAAAAGTCTGGACACCGAAAGAATCGGATTTCTACGGTCAGCTGGCCGTGCCCCTTATGTAAGGCCGTGTTTACGTGGACGGGGCACGACAAGGCCCTTAGCCAGAAACAGCGGCACATGAAGCTTGTGCACAACACCAGGTTGTCGGCAGTGGGTGGCTCGAAATCCGATAAAATGAAGGACCAATGGGAAAAGAACCCTCGGCAGTTCAAGTCGGGAGCGGAGGCCACCAAGAAGGCCTTGCTCAGGGCCAAGCAGCTCAAGGACCAGCAGCGTCACGACCTCGCTCACGCCACGTCCATGGGCCTTTTCCCTTGCATCAAAAAGACATGGTTTTGTCGACGGTGCCTGGTTAAGGGCAACACCCGACAGATCACGGAAAAGGCCTGCGAGCCCGAGGAGTGGGGCTGGAAAAAGGCCAAGTGGTGGTTGGGCCTTGCGGGGCCTCACAGGCAGGCCCTGGCCAAGGCCTGTGACTTGTCCGAACAGAAAGTTGCGGAGTTCACGGAGCAAGCCACCAGGGTGGTTCAGAACGCTCGTCCTCGCAAAGATGTCCAGTCTGAGGCAACTAGGCGTAGGGCTGCCGCTAGAAAGGCCCAGTGGCGAAAGGATGAGGGGTACACTGCTGAGCCCGCTTCTCTTCCTGGCAAGCTCAATGCCTCGTTGCAGATGCCCCGCTTGAATCTGAAAACCTCCAGTCGCGGAGGTGGCATCCGCAAGCGGCCTGCCGCTGCTGCGGGCGCTGCCAACGCTGGGGTCGCTGAGTCCCCCCCTCAGAACGGACCGGACTCGTCATGGCAACGTGACCTTACCGAGGAAGGAGTTGAGCGTCAACCGGGGCCCCAAAGGGAGGCTCGGCGGCGCAGAAAAGCAAAGCGAGCCCTTCCGATCTTGCTCGTTTGGCAGCTCAATGTGGCTTCGTTCGCTCTTAGAGGGTGGGACTTGCTGGCCGCTGCGGAAGCCAACAGGGTGGACATCGTTGTTATGCAGGAAACTCGCATGACGTGCGAAGAGGCCGCGCGGGTCAACAACAGTCTCCAGCGATGGACGTTGTTTCATCAACAAGAAGAGCCTCCGGAGCAGCGGGCTACTACCGAAGGCGGAGTGGCTGTGGCGGTCCGAAGAGGCATCCCTGCTGTCAAAGGAGCGTCGCACTGTAGCGGTGCGGGCCAGTGGCTGCGCGTGGCTCTCCCGGGGCTTCATGTGACATCGGCCTACCGAAGACAGCTCAGCTACGAAGAACTGGCAGACTACAACGAGTCTCTTTGCGCTGACTTGGCGAGTTTGGGCAAGACGGCTACCATGACTTTCGGAGACTGGAATCATGATCCTCTTACCGACCCGCTCAATGTGCAGGCGGCTGGGACCAGAGGTATGGTGCACTACCCCACCCTGCCCAACCCTGCTGAGGGCGACGAGCCTCAAGAACCTCTCCCCGCCCCGACTCGGTGGGCCTCGAATCGCTGCATCGACTGGGCGGTGAGAAGCAACGTTCAAGCCTCAGTTAAGCTCCTGCTCGACAAGTGGTCAGACCACAAGCTGTTGGAATGGAATATCGCGGGTCTCTCGACGGGGGGGCTTCCGAACTTCAAGCTCAGGCAAACTTCGGATCTGCGTAAACCCGACAATGTGTCTCAGAAGCAGTGGGATGAGGTCATCGACCGCTTGTGGAACAGGTCGGCTCAGGAACGCTGTAGCACCAATTTGAGCGAGTGGGAACAGCTTTCCAAGGCTGTAGAGGACGTGATGCGCGAAGCTCTTAGGGAGCTCGGAGCCCAGCGTCGCTTCACGACCAAGAACTACAAAGGTCAAGTTGCTGCTGTAACCCCGGATGTGCGACACCACAGGCCAAGCCCTCAGGGGGTCCCGACAGTCCGTACTGCTAGGCTGCGTCGTTTCGGACGGCGTGTTGAGCAGTACCACCGGCACCCCGAGCCTGCCCTGTCTCGCAGTGTGCTTAGGGAAGCTGCCTTCTTCGAGTGCCCTTCCTCCCCTCTCGAGCCTGGCTCTCTCTCGGACTTTCGACTGTGGCTTGAGAACGAACTTCGTAGACTGGAAACTGCTCAACGAGACAAGCGTCTTCGGGAGTGGAAGCAGAAGATGCAACAGGAGGACGGTCCGGTCTGGCGGTGGCTCGCTAAGGCCAAAAAGACCGAGGTTACGTGCGGGCTCAAGGACTCCAGCGGGCAAGTCATGACGCCCGTGGCAACCATGCAAACTGTCGAAGCTTTCTGGCGTCGGCATTGGCCCGGCAGCGAGGACCTGGCTGACAAACTAGAGGTTGTTGAGAACTTGTACCACGAGTTTGGGCTAGGGGACAGGTCCGGCACCCTGGCATGCCGCCTCTCTCAGGCAGCGACCTTAAGCGCACCTTGTCACGGCAAAAGGGCAAGGCTGCGGGCCCAGAGGGTTGGAGGCCGGAAGAGCTGTGGAGTTGGCCGGCGCCAGCCTTGGACCTGCTCGCGGCTTTCCTTAACAAGGTTGAACAGGGGAGTAGCTGGCCCAGAGCCCTCAGGCAATGGCGACAAGTCCACCTTAGTAAACCAAACAAGCCTGCCGGCGAGTTGGGAAGCCTGCGACCCATCAGCATCGGTTCAGCCGTCTATCGGACGTGGTCGGCCACTCGGATTCGACAGCTCGGGCCTTGGCTTCGGCGTAGGTTCCCAGACCAAGTGCACGGAGCCTTGCCAGGTAGGGGGGTTCACACCGCCTTACTTGAGCCGCTCGCAGAGATCGAGGCCGCTCAGTGGTCTTCTCAAGGGAGTCTCCGCTATCTCGGCTCCTCTGACTTATCTAAGGCCTTCGATACGATGCACGGGGCCCTCTCGGTCGGCGCACTAAGGCGCTTAGGAGTGCCGCAACCTCTGTGCGATGCTTGGCACCGAGCATGGACCTCCCAAGAGCGGGTGCTCCAACTGGCGGCCTTCTGCAGCCAGGGTGCGGTGACTGAGGTCATGGCCTTGCCGCAAGGCGACCCGGCGTCCCCGGCTGCCTTGACAGCTCCTCTCGTGGAGTCCCTTCGGCGCATCCAGAGTATCTTCGCTGAAAGAAGACATGGGCGCTCTTTGTTCAGGTTGTTTCTTGACGACAGAAGCTGGTATTGCGCAAAGCGCAAGACTTGTCGGGTTTGGGGGAGAACAAATCCAAAGCGGATTTCGGCGTTGTGGGTTCGGCTCAGGCGCGCCGGCGCATGCAAACCGAGCTGCGCCGTCGCGAGCAGGTGGGGGAAGTCAAGCTTCGCCCGCGCCTCCTGGGCTCTCGCGTGCACACGAACAGGGCGCACAGCAAGCCACAAGGAGAAGAGCGTGACCGGCTCGTTGAAGCCAAGAAGATGGCAGCCTGGGGTAGTCACCTGCCCTGCGACCAGGCCCGAAAGGCCTACTTCCTCAAACAGACTGCGGTGGCTAAGGCTGCGGCTCCCACGTACGTGAGGCTGGAGGCTCTTAGGGCTCTTGAGGGGGTTCAGTCTACTATCAATCGAGCTGTTCGCTCGTCTGGGCATGCCAGAGGAGGGAGTTTGGCTGACTTGTTTTTGGGGCATAGCGCTTGTCTCAAGTTCCGTCATGGGCATGTTGCTTCGGTCCAGGTTTTGGTTCAGAGTCATCTGCCTGTGTTGCGGGCTGCTTGGCATCAAGGCCGTTCCGACGGGCCCGTGGGTTTGGCTAGGAGGTGGATGCAGAGGCATGGGTGGAGCGAGGCTGGGGTCTTTCGGTGGACGCACCCAGTTACTCAGGCCACTTTGTTCTCTCGTGATGTCCACTAAGGCCGGCAGGAGAGAGGCATTCGGCTAAGGGAGCAAAACAAAGATGCCATCAACCACGCCTTGCGTGACGCTTGGAGGGCTCGGTGCTGGGTCACGTGGCTGGCGCAGGGCTCTAACCGGGCCAGGCCGCTGGCCGCTCTGTCTTGGCCCCAAGTGCGTGGCAGGTTTAAGATGGCTGTTAGTATCTTGAACCAGCTCCCCTGCGAACTGAAGTCTCATGCTCAGGCGGTCATGGTGGGACACATGGTGTCCCCAGCGGCATTCCACGTAATGTCCAGTCCGCAGGCTGCTATGATCCCCTGCCCCTTCTGCGGGTCTCAGGAGGCGCCGGACTTCGAGCACGTGATGTGGGTGTGTGAGCACTTTAGTCAGACAAGGCCCGCTTGCGGCGCCCTTGACCCTTTGCAGCTTTGGCTTGTGTGGCCATCACAGGCTAAGGCAAAAAAGGAGAACCTTCAAGTGGTACTTCACGCAGCTGAAGTTCGGAGGGGCGTGCTTCGCGCGCGCCATGACACGGACTCCTAAGGACCGGTGCCAGCAGTGCGGCAAGAGCGCCTCGTCAGGGCGAACCTCTACCGCACCAGCAACTACTACTACAACATCGCCGGTTTGCCTTCGAGCACGTTGTGATTCTAGGACTTTCGGGCCGCACCTCTATGGGCGCTCGCCCTACGAGCACGAAGGGAGGG